GGGCTAAATACAGTATTTCCTCGAGGATTTTTTTTCAGCAGCGCTGGCAGACAAGACCCCCCTCGCCAACCTTCTACTTTACTGTCCAGCGACTGAAGATCAGACTTAGGCTGTCGGTCTTGCCTGTTTCAGTACTTTTTTTTTTTGCTGTGAAGTTGTAAACAAACAAAATATTCCATCTCTAACAGTAGCTCGCCCTTGTTGGCTAGCATTAAGACATTACAAGGAGCAAGTACCCAGGTTTGCACAAAATAAAACGGATAAACACCGTTTTCATGTTTCAGACCAGTACTGTCTGTGAAAGTCCACAGAATGTAAAAATTGCAGAATAATTGTAAAATTGCAGAACTTAATAACGTTGCAGAATAAGTTCATTTTAAGCTTAAGCTAGCACTTTTATTTGTAGCTGTGTTGATGGATAACAAACTTAACTGCTGGGTGCTTCAAATTGTTGTAAAACAACAGTATAAAATCCTTAAAAAAGTAAAACAGTACGTTTTCTTTCAGGAAATGTTTTCTCCTTGGTTAACATGTACAGTACTGTTTTAGGGTCCGTGTGGTGTAATTTTAAAGGGGAATTCCATCAATTTCTCAATGTCAGCATAAGTAAATCGTCGAGATGTAAACAAAGTCATTTACAGTGGTTTCATATGAAATGGTTAATTGTAGAAAAACTTGCCAACTGTGATATCTTTACAGTGGCGTTGATGACATCCAGGAGTCACTATATCTACAGCTCAAATGCAGCCATTTTATTTACTATTTAAACGATCGGTGAACACTACACTTTTTATGTTTTATATGTGATGTTGACAATGATAAAATATTGGTAAATCGGAAAACGAAGGTTTTTTGGGCGTACATACCTCGCGCCTTGAATGGATTTTAAAAAAAAAATACATTTTAGGCCAAGAGCTTATCTCAAAACCATTATAAAACAATTTTCTAGGCACCGAACAGCATATTTATAACCATTTCGTACCATCACGTTCCGAGAGGTGGCTATTAGAGGCATTAAACACTTTGGATGTCCGGTTCCCATCACCACCGCTTTGAATAATTCTGGCTCGGTAGGTTTCCGTAGAGCGACGCAATTCACAGTAAAACAGTCTGAAGATTTTTACATCTTAATCATTTAATTATGCTGGTTAAAGATCGATTATTCCCCTATAAGTAGCAGAATAGAGCAGTCCAATCAAAATAGGTTCATAATGTTTTTTTTTTGTTTGTTTTTTGTTAAACCTTGAATATCATCTGATACTGTGATATAATTGGAAAATATCATGATACTGAATTTTATCAAGCATCACCAGAGCCTGAGTCACATTTGATTATTTTTCTTCCATCAAGCAGCGCCTACAGAAGCATTATTCCTCCATGCGATGTCGAAACATTTCCTTTCCAGTCCGTTTAAGCTCTCACAACCACATTAGGAACAACAGATGTTGACATTTGTTTGATACCTCCAAACAGCAAGTAAGTGTGAATCTGATGACAGTGTTTTCCCAGTTTGGGCTTCATTGTGCAGTTAGTGCTATTTTGGGCTCCATACTGGGCGGCTTTCAGGCTTGCTCTTTTAACGGCTCAGTTTCCGAACGAGACCGTCTAATTTGACTTGTCAGCTAAACTGAGCCCTTTGCTGGTGGATTCGGTGTCATTGTGCACAGACGTGGTATGAAGTTTTCATGTGGATAGGCAAAACGTAGCTTTTTGAAAATGTTGATGGATGTCACAGCATTAACTTGGCACATGTTCTTGCTGTTTTTGTTTATTGTGTATGCAGAACTCTGACATAAGGCTGACAGGTGGGTTGTTTATGTGTGCTTAGCAATTTGCGGTTGATTTGGGGATCGATAATGTTTTTTATGATCTAATTTAGCTTTTAAACCAGTGTGGGGGTGCACAGTTCTTTTTAATGCGGTTCTGAACTAAGTATTAAAAAGTATGTCAACAATAAACAAAAAAAAAAAAAGTGATTTGATGTTTATTTAACCAATGTCAGACTTGGAAAAACATTGTAACTCCATATTTCAAATGGAGTGAACAGCTAGAAAAACTGTAAACCCCAGTTTAAACCCCATGGCAGCAGGCGGTAGGCTTTGTTTTTTTAAGCTTTTATTTTCTGGCAGAAATGTTAATGCCAATTGTTAACGGACCCTTTGGGTGTCTGTGTGACATTGCATTGAATAAACTCTGATCAAGAGTTTTCAGTTAGATGTGAACTAAAATCCCTCATACAGGTGTGTTCAAAAATCACAGAATTGATTGTTTGCACTGACCAATATAAATGCTTCTTTGTGATTAGATCACTGTTGTGCTCACTGAAATTGTTAATCACAATATCGCTCAAAATAATCACAATTTGTGTCATACCAGTGCTTCCCACCCACAGCCGTACACCCACACCCGCCCCCGTTACGTCTGTGTTGTGGATTAGCAGGTTCGCTGTGCTATGTGCCGCGTGGCTGTCCCCCTCTCATCAGCGGCACCGGGAGACTCCAGGCCTTATTTGCTGTTTGTTAGACTCGGTCTCTGCATAATATGATTAGATAAGCAGGCCATGAGAAACTCATTGAGTTTAAATGAGTCGTTTATTCCTCTCTTTTCATCTGTGCTGCAATACCTGGGCTGAGGAATATCATTACCAGAGTCTGAAAACCTCTCAGAAGTGGTTTGAGACCAGTTTTAATAGTTTAGATTTGAATGTGGGTTTAAGAGTGGTTTAAAAAAAATAAAAATAATAAAAAAAAAAAAATCGTTAGGGCTAACAAAAACTGTTATCTCGAAAATACAAATGTTCTTAATGTTAATGTGAATTCATGATGAAATATCGACATGTAGAAGGTTTCGGATGTTTTTTGGTGGTGTAAATATATATCGCTGTTGTCGGAACAAAACATCGTATCTCCAAAGTGATAATTTTACAGGAATAGGAAAAAAAACATACTTTACTTTTAATGTAAGTCAATGGAACCAGACGTTTTTCCTACTAATTTTCACAAACAAGGTTTTGTTCCGACAGCAGTTATGTGTGTGTGTGTATATATATATATATATATATATATATATATATATATATATATATATATATATATATATATGAGAGAGTGGTATGTTTCTAGAGCAATGAAAGCTCTGGTGTAAGATCAGTTCAGGTGTGGTTTGATGATTCAAACATTAGGAGGAGTTCAATTGAAATATGAGTAACACTCAGTATGGCGGGTGTGTTATGGGAAGTCGTTTTGTTGGCAAAGGCGTATGTGGGGGAAAAATCTTCAATACATCAGTACATGCTTACTAACTGGAACAGCCTCAAAAATGCTTTCTTTTTATGTTATAAGACAGAGTAAATTATGTATAATACTTGTGGAAGATTTAAGTATGGATGTCAGTGGGTGGATGGCTTTTAGTTTTACATTTGTAGATCTCTCCTCGTTTAAGTAGACAGGAGCCTATTTTTATAGCACTAGTAATAACTGCTCAAGGCTGCAGCCGTGTTCAAAATACCGATACAGCAATATACCCAAATCGTTATGTTCAAAGGCTCATTTATAGTACTGAATCTACTTTGCCATAGGCTGTGTATGTATGAGGGGATTTCAATATGAGTGGTATTTGTAATGTGTAAAAACAAGGAAAATAATGCCTTAACATCACCAAAAAAACCTCCAGCAACATAACAGACCTTTGTTACTTGTTAAGTGTTTAAGTGTCTTGTGTGCTTTTGTGTCATTGTATCCTGCTGCTTGTATTTTAATACACATCGTATTGCAAAATTACTGCCAATTCCCAGCCCTGCTGCTGATTTAAGAGGCATATTAATAAGGGCTTTGCTTTGACATGTTAGTACTTTGGTGGAGAGAACTGGTTCTGGAGCAGGACTGAAGTGTTGAGTGATGCTGGTGCAGTGGTTCAGCTGCTGAGAGTTCACCGGTGGCCCAGGACGGAGGGGTAAAAATAGAATATGCTGGGCAGCAGCAGCAGCAGGGCGGCAGTGGTGCACACGGTTCCTCTGACTGCTCCCCTGTGACCATGCGAAATAAAAAGCCAATCGATGTAAACGCAGAGAGCGAGGTGGAGGAACCGCAGGATGACGCGGTGCTTTTGGGAGGGAGCCTGTGTTTCACAGCAACAGCATGCACACTCCAGGTCACTTTCCTCCACAACAAGGCCACATGTGCAGGCTGGGGCAGCGATGAGCAGAGTAGGGGTAGTGAGGGGGGGTGAGGAAGGACATCCAATTGTTGGAAAACCCTTCATTTTCAGAGCCTAACCTACTTTCTCCTTTCTGTAGAATGGTTGTAGTCAATGATGGTCTGTTTTATAACTGATGGCTAAGGACTAACTGTTTGGATGGTAAAACTGGCTGGTAGTAACATTAGAAAGATTTGGCACCTATAAAAATGCCACCTGTAACACACCGAGATATGTAGAGATAGCAGAGAAACATGTGAATTGAAGGCCGATGCTGATCTTTTTCTTGTAGCTATCTGTGAATTTTAATACTGATGCTGATGCATGAATAGAAATTGGGACTAGATCTACTGGGATTAGCATTACATTAACATTTATTTTTAAATCGTTATGAAAACAGTAAAATGTAGAAAAACACAGGCAGCATATATCTGCTGATATCAGTATGATTCCAGTATCATTGTTTCACCAGTATGTATGAAATAACATGTATATCTTATTTCATGTTGAAATGAACTCGTGTGATGCCAAGAAATGTGACACAAGAATAGACAGTCACGTCAGAGAGTAAAACACTGTTTTACTGAAACTTATAGAAAGTGTGAATCAGGTTTATCAGATTCGCTGTGGATAGAATGGATGTTTGTTCTATTCCATCATCTCTTCACCAGGCCGTTATGCAGTTACAGATTCATTATCTCAATGGCAATTATGTAACTGCAGTTGAATTGTACTAGAGCTTACTTACTCCAAATTTAAGTTGTAATCATACTGATTGCCTGTGTGTGCTTGTTTTTCATCCGCAGTGAGAGGGTCAAAGCCTGGTAAGAATGTTCAGCTGCAGGAGAACGAGATTCGCGGCCTGTGTCTGAAATCTCGTGAGATCTTTCTCAGCCAGCCCATCCTGCTGGAGCTGGAGGCCCCTCTGAAGATCTGCGGTGAGTAGATAAACAGCCAAACAGCTGAGTTAACCAAGGGAGCAAACAAATATTCAGTAATATTTGATAAATCCAGTTTGTTGGAAGTAATCAATGCATTTACCAATTTTATGAAGCCAGAACTGAATGACGCTTGTGTTGTTAAGTTTTAACTGCCTGATTTTAGATTTCTAATTTGAGTTGACAATATTGCTCTTAATTCAAGTTGCAATGCAAGTAAACGTCTTGCTACTTCAGATAGCCGGCTAGCGTGCACTCAGTTGTGTTTATTTCTGAGAATAGACGAGTGTGCGCTCACTAGCTTGCTGGTCAGTGCAGTAGAAAGCTTATTCAGACTGCACCGGGCAGTAAGACCAATATTGCTTTCTGAGTTTAGTGCATACTCTGAAAGAAAGCGATTTTTGAGTGGCTTAAAAAACGTAATTAGAATCTGAAGTAACTATTGCTGGTGAGTCTGGTAGGTTTCATCGCTCAGTGTGGCCAGGAACCCCCTACTTTGATAGGATGAAGCAGTTTGACTTGCATGCGGAAAGACCAGCATCCAGTAAAATAAAAATCCAGTTTTGGATTTAATCATTGTAGTGGAACACGTCTTACGCTGTTTTTGTCCTATATGCTGTATAGAATATTCAAATATTTGAGAAGGCATTTGGTGTGATATGTGAAAATGAAATTCCAGCATTAAGGATCAGCTGTTGACCAGTGGTTGGAGATGACATTTAGCCACTGTATTCAGAAGTATCTGGTAGCTACTGGTCTCATTGAACAGTGTAACAAGTAAGGTTGCTCTCTGCTTTGTAGGCGACATCCATGGGCAGTACTATGATCTGCTAAGGCTCTTTGAGTATGGGGGCTACCCACCTGAGAGTAACTACCTGTTCCTGGGGGACTACGTGGACCGAGGGAAGCAGTCTCTGGAGACCATCTGCCTCCTGCTGGCCTACAAGATCAAATATCCAGAGAACTTCTTCCTCCTCAGGGGCAACCATGAATGCGCCTCCATCAACCGCATCTATGGATTCTATGATGAATGTGAGTTTAATACTGGCTGTAGTTATAGACATAAAAATCATTGTGCAGTGGGTGGTTGGCTTGACCTGTATGTTGAGTTGTCAATATAGTATTTATTTTTTAAATGATAGTTCTGTCTGAGATGACAGGTTTGCTGGTTTTTAGACCAAATAAAATTGTTTCTCATTTGTAATTGCCCAAAGCTTAAAGCTTAACTGCTTGACACAGTTTGAATGCAGTTCAGTTTGAATGCAGTTCAGTGGGGTCTCTTTTTTAGAAACAGGAAACTCAGTCATGTGTGAAGATAACCACTAATGTGGCTGTGTATGTAATGTGCGACTTGCAGTTGTTTACAACTGCGCCCTTACTGCTATGTATTTTTTTTTCAATAGTACGTTTAACATACGGACACCAGCAGTATGACATTAAATTAATTAAACAGTTAGCCGACACATACTCAGTTTCTCAACCCCTGTGTCAGTTGGAATAGCTGAGTACCCGTAATCTTAACACGTTTTCCTCCCACCCTTTTTTTCTACAGATCACAACTTTAGTTATGAATCATGTAAGGAAAGAAAGTTGGAATAACACAAATGCAACCCATTTTGAACGAGTGCAAAACCAGCTAACAACAGTACAAATGTAGTGTGGCTAATGTCCAAAAATCGAATGCAGTATTACAGGATTCCAGACAAAAAAACAATTAGCTTAAGGAGCCGCTGGCTCCGAAAAGGGAAAAAATAAGGTGCCAATAGCTTTTAAGTGCCAAATAATAATGTGCAAAAAAATAAAGCTTTTCAACCTCTTGTCAAACATATTATGAAATGACTGACACATCAATTTTTTTTCTCATTAGCAAGATTTGGGAGGTGACTTTGGTGAAGGGTAGTTCTTCACATGCTATGTTGAATTTAGGCTGTGTTGAATTTTGATTTTAAGCTCTCACGCTGTGCAGTCTAAGGGAGTTTCTTTAGGAGCAACTGTTTGTGAAAATGAAATCACATGCATTTTAATACATTCAACTCTCCATGTTTTTTCAGTCTCTTTTTTTGAATGATTCCTGTTAAGAAATCAATTTTTCCAGCTGTATCTTTGCTCGCTTTCGAACAGAATTCGCAGTACGCTTTATCATACCTGGGCCAAGGAAATTTCTGAAGCCAGGAAGTTCTGAAATGTCTTTGTGTGGTGGTACTTTTGACGTGGACGAACGTTCAAGTACATCTTCGTACTTCACTGGTCTTTAATGAGTCAGACTGGGGAGATGACCTCTTGATGTCTGACAGACATACAATTGTGTAAAAAAAAATCTTTATATTTTGATCTTTGATATTTTTCGCTTCGCCATTTTCTACACACTGACATTCACTGCAAAAAGCTCAGCTCGGCTCAGCTGCTTTGGTTGCCACGTTTTACCACTCTGGGTAAAATCCCGCGAGCACACACTTAAAAGCAAAAAAAATATAATCCAAAATTGCTACGTCGCCACTGGCTAGTTAATTTTATTACTCACAAATTAATAATTGTGCTCGCAATCGCAACCATTTTAGTCAGTCTTGAGCCCTGTATTACTGATCTTCAGAACATGTTCTGAAAAATAAACAGAATAAATAAAGACTGCACTGGTAGTTTCCCATTTTACTAAGATTTATTGGGGGTTTCGTAAATGTAACCAGCTGCTCTATTGGACAGTATTTAAACCCAGTGAGAAGCTGCAGTGGTGAGGTTTGTAGTGAAGTACAGAAACATCAATGTAAATAAGATATTGGCTGAAAAACAGCAAACCTGTCCTTTAATATCCAAAACAAGCCTGGTTCTTTTTGTTGTGAGTTATTTGTCCTCCCTTGAGAGAATTCTGTGTTTCTAATAGAAACTTGGCAAGTTTACAAGCTCTGGGGGCAGGTTTTAAATGCGCTGACTAACAGGAAATCAAATTACCGGTGCTGTACTGTGTTGGTGCAACAAAACAGGATTTTTCCATGCCTCTCAACAAAAAGATGGTACAATGACAGATTTGCAAGAATAGAGAGCGTTAAGATGTAGTTGGACATAGTCATAATCAAAATAGACTACACTTCTATGTTGAGGGTCTGCAAGCTAATATGAGAACGTTTACTGCACCGTCAAGGTGGGAGGTATACTGATGTAAAAGTAAATACCAGTGTTGTGGCCTGATTTGGGTTTAATTCTGTTGTGGATACCATGATGAGCTCAAAAAACGGTGATTGACCAATGGCCCAACTCCCAGTGCAAACTGAACATAAACCCAAATCTACTGGAGTCCGGTTGCATTGTGACGTTTTTATTTATTCAGTATGTCCTTCTGTCGTCGTATATATTGTGATGGTGTAACAAATGTGTTTGAATTTATTTAAATGTGTAGGTTTGTTTTCATATTGCACCTTTCAGAATCACAAGGTCGCAATAAAAATAAACAGATGGAGGCATCTCTACTCTCTAATACAGTAATCAACAAAAGAGAAGTGGTGTTTAAAGAGGAAAGTCTTTAGAAGAGTTTTAAAAGAGGAAATGGACGTGCAGTCTCAGAGTTTGGAGTAGGGCATTCTATATTTTAAGGGCTACAGTACTGAACGATCTGATTTTGAGAGGAGTAAACAGACTTTTATGCCTTATATTGTAGGATACTGTTAGCCAGTACATCTGAATGGGAATAGGGGTGAAGTGTGCTGTTTTTTAATGTAAGTAAGCACTCAGACCTGTAAAAAGAGAATCACTGAAGTTAGTACAGGAGATGATGAAGGCAGGAGCCAGTGTTTTGTTGGCAAAGGCCAAAGGCGGGCAAAGGTACGGAAACAGAAAAACTGTACAGGGTAAGAATATAACTTAAAGATTTCTAGCGACAAGACACGTCACCATCAATGTGAAATCCGTCAGAGACACTTCTTTCATGTTTAATTTAAAATGGTAATTCGTCCAGAGTTTTGGATCATAGATGCATAGATCATAGTGCCTGGAGTGGAAGGGGAGAGGTGGTGTTTGGAGTTCATATTGTTATATTATTCAATCCCTTCTGCATAGCCATACAAATTGCTTCTATATTGCTTAGATGTAGAGCAGAGAAGGGACTTAGCAGACCCTCCCCTCAATACAAGCATGTCTGATTTTATTATCATGGGACCCAGACCAGGGACAGGTCAGTAGACAGCCGCACTAATCTGTATTTTTTTTTTTTATATTATTATTTTACTTATTTATTTATTTTTAAGCTTTGGGGCCAGCACTCGTAGCTCAGTATAAAAAGCCCTGTAGACACAGTGCTGCAGTGCATTGTATGGCAGGGGAATTGTATATGAGAGTATACCATACTCACTAATCCTGACCCAGAACAGTAGGGCAGACCATGGCACCCTCGATTTTATATAATCCACCAAATGGCACACATTTCACATTGACAGTTGAATCCAGTTGAATGCACTCATTAAAAGATTTACAGTTTGGTTATGGCTTGATTGTTAGGGACTTTTAAATATGACAGTAGGTGTTGGACGATTTGACCTACATATGGGAGATTTAGCATCATTAGAGCCAGATATGCATGATGCTGGGCAAAGGCTGCTCTGGGTGGGATGAATTATTGAGCTTTGTTGCAGTTGGTTGTGAGTGAGAGAGAGGAGTAGAACTGGGGTGATGTGGGAGTTGAAAAGTATTTTTAGCAAGCAGCCCTGTCTCTGTAGAGAAGAGCTCCCTTTGCACCCACCCTGCCCACACAATCAGGAGGAAAACAGACACAAAAAATCTCTAAATGTTTGCACTGATTACAAAACTGATGCATGTTTCCCTCCATGTTTCCAGGCCGAAGGCGATACAACATTAAGCTCTGGAAGACATTCACCGACTGCTTCAACTGCCTGCCCATCGCTGCCATCGTGGACGAGAAGATCTTCTGTTGCCATGGAGGTGGGTGTGACTGCCTGGCAACACCATGACAGGGGAAAAGCCTGAATGCACAGGGAGAGCGCTATAGCACAGAGAACGAAAACACAGAAAAACCTCTGCATGGAGGTGCATCACTAGTCAAAAACAGCAAACCAGCCACGTGATATGCTTATGAAATTGTAGGGAAATTTAAGGTGAAATAAACAAGCTTTAATTTGAGCCTATTAAAGGTTTATATAATCAGACTGCACTTTCTGTATACCAAATACTGTATAGAAATAGTAATTGTTGTAAAAAAAAATTAACATTTTAAAAGAGAATGCAAAAACAAACATCTGTTAATGAATGCATCTGCTAAAATTCGAAAGAAAATGTAATTTTAAGCTTTTCGCCATGAAATGTCACTATTTCAGTTGTTTTAGACAAAAAGTATGAAGAAAAAAATGACATTGTAAACAGATGGTATATATGTTTAAGTAACCCTCACTTTTTTGTGTACTTTAGGCTTGTCTCCAGACTTGCAGTCCATGGAGCAGATTCGACGGATCATGAGGCCCACAGACGTGCCCGATCAGGGCCTTCTGTGTGATCTGCTGTGGTCTGACCCAGATAAGGATGTGCTAGGCTGGGGCGAGAATGACCGGGGCGTTTCCTTCACCTTTGGAGCTGAAGTTGTGGCCAAGTTCCTCCACAAACATGATCTGGACCTCATCTGCAGGGCCCACCAGGTGAGACCTTAGCTTTAGCAGTGTTTTTCTGGCTAGATATGGAGCAAGTAGACCCATATCACAAAAAAATCAATACTGGAGAACTGTGGAGAGTGCTCAGTAACACCACATATTTCATTATAATTGCTTTATACGTTGATGAGGGAGTAGCCAACGGTGCTGGACTCCAGCCCCTTCAGGACTGGAACTGATGATCTCTGATGTAGACATCATTCTGATCTGAGAGAAGCTCTGTGGTTATTGCTCAGATGGTTAAAGTCTAATTTGGGGATTTGGTTCTAAATGAGCTCAAAAGAAGTCTGAAGAAAACTGAATGGAGATTTAAGCCAAGGATCTCATGTACTGTGCATATTCCCTGCTCACACACCTGACAAGGGCTGTCAAAATGTTTTAAAGCTCTCAGTATCTTCCAGACCAATTAGTTAGTAACATAATCATGTAATATTTATAAGGCAGTGAAGTCAGCTGCTAGTTTAGCTGCATGGCTAAGATGCTGCACAGCTTATTGCAGTTGCAGAATTTATTCCAGACTAATAATGATAGTGGGGTGTCACTGGTGTGAGGACCTTATTGATAAGTCATTCTTAGTTATGTCAGAATTGGTCTACCTTTTTTGACAGCCGCCTCGCGAGTCATTTAGCTTATTCGCTCCAGTTGGTAATCTAGGTAAACATTTCCCTCAATTTTGTTTTTCATATATTGTAAAAAAAATGTCATGAAAATCTAATATATTGTAGTTGTTTCTTTCACCCAGTATCATTACACCTTAACCACTGGTCTGAATAATCTCACCTGAGTCAGAGACTCTGCCTGATCTGTGTTGACCTCTCTGTGTGTCAGTCTGTTGTTTAGATGGCAGGTAGGAGTGAGTGCTTATCTGTGTCCACTCAGACTGAAATATAATCTGCCCGAGAATTGAGAGCAGCCATGAGTCTGCTTTTCAAGAACAGCTCTTGTTCACCTCCATGTCTTCAGAAGTGTGAACGTGACAAAGCCAAGAGCCTGTTGGACAAAGCGGACAGCTGTACACACACTCACACAGTGACGCACAAATGCCAGCTTTCGACCAACGTCCGTGCGTCTGTTTTATTGAGGGTGTACGGAACAAACACGCAGTTGCTGTTTTATTTTACACATCAGTCACTGAGCACAAAGCATGTGGGTTTTTCCTTCTGCCTGCGTAGGTGCTGTAAATAATGATCTTTGTGAGACAATCATCTACAAGCACCACTCCTTTGCCAAGTTTCTCCAGGCTTACTCTTACTGCGAATCACACACAGTTCTGATGTTGCATTTCTATTCCTTCGAATGAGAATTGTGATATTTTAAAAGTGCATTAGTGAATCAGTGATGTGGCATGGTTAAATATTGGCCTGCATAATTTGGCCAGAAATATTAGATTTATTGGATCACGTGATTTGTAATCAGAACACCGACTGAAAATCATCTGGGAAATCTTTGGTTGTGCTTAATTTTCACAGGATACAATAAAATGAGTGCTTGTTTGCATGTCGCAGCCTTCAGTACTGCAAAAGCTGATGCTGCATTAACAGTTAACAAATGATATATTGTGCAAACCTGTTCCAGATTTGGTACTTTCTCTTCAGCCTTTCTGATCACATCCATATTGTGTGTCTTCCTCTCTTCTAGGTGGTGGAGGACGGCTATGAGTTCTTTGCCAAGAGGCAGCTGGTCACGCTTTTTTCTGCGCCGAACTACTGTGGCGAGTTTGACAATGCGGGGGCCATGATGAGCGTAGACGAGACACTTATGTGCTCTTTTCAGGTACAGAATGTTCTGAGAAATGAGCTTCACTTGTGGTAAACCGCATTGAATCTGCAGATGGGTCCACACTTCAGTTTCTCACACTCGTAACAGCAGAACTCACACATTAGTTTCATAGTAGTGATTTTTTTCATAGTAGCTGATGAATAATAAGCCTTAAGATTAATAACTGAATAATAAGCCAAGGCTTCAAGTGGCTGAAAGTACAGAGCACAAAACCACTTGATCAGATGTTCAATTTTGTGTTGCAGTTTGAAAATAACTTTAAAGGTAAAGAATTTAAGTTTGCATTTCTTAAAGATTTGACCTGCTTGGCTCTTTCATGGTGCTTCATTTGAAGGCTGACTACATAAAGACTTTCTGATGCATAAAGAATTGAATAACATTTAAAAAGCCATTCTTGAGTATTTATGAATGGGTTATGTCAGTGTTCACAAGATAACGTGCGTTTTCTGAGAAAAGCGACATTGATTCTTTTTTTTGTTTGTTTTTTTTTTTCCCTTTTTTAAAACCATTTATCGGTTCCATTAAAACTTTAGATACCTTCAAAACGTAGTGATAATTCTCATGCATATCTTTTCATATGTAAATATCAGTGGTGCTAAAGTCAATTCTAATGGTTCATTTAAAATATTACAAAAAAAGTCAGAATAGCTGAAATTTAGCTGCTTTTATGAAGATATGCGCATCAGTGCATCAGTTTTTATCGGTTTGACAGGAAACAAGAAGTCACGAGTAGCAGCCCTTCTAAAGAGAGCAAGAGAGTCTGCAAAAACAGTGACTCATGTTTTCCCTTTTTCGCATCAGTCCTTTCCTGTCTAGAGCACACTGTGATATTTTGGCAGTGATCAGAGGAGAGACTGTTCCTAACCGCCTGCTTTGCAGCTCTAATATGGGGCGATAATGACGAGGCTGAAGTTAGATTTTCTGTTCGCCAGCTTCTTTTACAGTAGTTTTGTTGCACATTGGATGGTGCAGCAGTTATATTATGGCACTTGCACCGTTTAAGGTGAAACGGAGAATTTGAATAATAAACTGGGTAATAAGAACTTCAGCTTTGTTTGCTAATGTTTTAATGGCCCAGTGCAGTCCACATGCTTTTTCTACTGCTCTGGATTGCTGGCTAGCATTCATTCAGATGAGAATAAACGAGTGAGCTGGTTGTCCAGTACATAGTTTTGTACATACTCACGTGCAAAGCGGTTTGTAAGTGGTTTCTAAAACTTGGTCATGTAGAATCTAAATCACATTCACCCCTCATTCGCTGACTGATTTGACCTAAAATTTGTTTTCAGCACTGACCCATTCAGACAGAGCAACCAGCTCAGGGTTGCTAGATTGGGCAGGATCCCTCATATTCGCATTTTATCACAGTAATTGTTTATCAGTGATGACTTTTTTTTCCCATGTAGTCATTAATGTGAGAAGCTTTGGCTTTTTTGATCCTTATAGGACGTTTAAATATTCAAGATAGTATTTGCTAGAATATTCAAAGATCGAAATATTTGATAGGTGCAGCCCCCTACATTTGTACACAAGTACGAGTGTTTGCTTTTAAAAGTGCTTAAGTATCAAAAGTAAAAGTACTGTGTGAGTTTTTAGTTAGATTATTAGATAATATGATTATTTGTATTGAAGACATCTCAGAACTGATAACTGTTTTAAACTAGGCATCTACTTCATAAATTACATTACATTTGAATGCTGCTACATACAGGGTTAGTATGTAAAATCCTGGAAAAGTCATGGAATACAGAAAGGTGATTTTCCAGGCCTGGAAAAGTCATGGAAAATAATAAGTGCTGGAAAAATCAAGGAATTTCCTGGACTTTTCCCCCATCCAGTTCGTCATCTCATCACATTTGAAGCACTGAAGAGTCCAGATTGGAAAAAACACCCGACTAATGCATCTGCACGTAGACTAGCTTTACTCACGTCAGTAATATGAATCTCGGCTAGCTTAGGTGTAACATTCAGGATGTGCGTGTTGTGAAAGACGTGGAGAAGATGAATCAACAAGCCAAATGTGAGAGGAAAAACACACCACCGCTGCTTCTCACACCAAGACACAGCGAGTCACGGCACTCGGTCTGCACCACAGCAGCTAAACCTACCTCACAGCTTCATTAAGAAATGATGAGCTAACTGCTGAGGTTCTCTCACTGATTTGATTTTATAGTCTTTGTTGTACTCTGGGTACTGAACTGTCTCTCGTTAGATCCCTCGCTTAAATGCTGTAAAATTGCATCAGAAGTCAGTGACGTTGCCAGTTTGGACAGGAATAAAATCGCTTAGAAACTCCAGTAGCCTGATAAATCCATTACCTTCCCAAATTGAACTTAAACTAGATCACTCATTTCACTGGCTAAATAGGTGTCTGTTAGTGTTAACTCATTTGATTTGAGCTAATTGTAATGAAATGAATAACCGTATCCACCTAATCATGATGTGCGTCTGATTTGTGTTTTGAAAAGACGCTTTCCACAAACAAAACCAATGGACATGTTTGCACATGAGAATATGGAGAGCCGGAGGAGTCGAAACTGATCATATGAGCTCTGAAATTATGAAACGTTAATACATTGAGTGAAATCACTGATCAGTTCTCTGAGGTCAGAGTGTTAAACCTGGTGCAGAAATCTGTACATGGGTCAGATTTCAATTTCACTCGCAGTCATTCCATTTAAACAGCGATTTGACTTACTAGCTAATAATATTTAAATATTAAATTAATATTTAGATAATGTAGGTTTTTTTTTCCTCTCATAACAGCTGTCTGTGTTAAATTTGTGCTGGGCAGTTACTGATAAAATGAAATATCAGGGTATTTTCAAACAGATCACAGTATCATGTTATCAGGTGATGTTGAAGTTTAACATTAATAAAGAAATCGTTCTTCCTGAGTTTCCTCATTTTTATAGAATTTAAGCAAACGAGTTAAATGTAAATTAAGGACTGCGTACCACGAGTAAAGTGCATATAACTATATGGTCCTTACCTATCACATGTATCACTGAAACAGGAAGTGGTATGTCAGTATCGGTATGTCAGTACTGGTATGTGTGACGGCGCTGTGTTAAACGTTTGGCGTGAAACTTTCATTTTATGTCATGGAAAATTCATGGAATTCCACTGTTTTAAAAAGTGTACAAACTCTGTCCGTAAGTGTTATAAATGGAACACTTTTGCAAATACTGGCTTAAGCTGTTCGTAAATATTTAAGTATTGCTTTATAAATATGTTATTCAGTGCTTATGCATGTGCTGTGAAGTCACTAAAGTCATATGTGAAGTGTAGAGCGCCTGGCCAAATTGTTTTGTTGATTTTCTGAATGAAGGTAATACATCCTCTATGGAGAACACACTTCTGTACATTTTAATGCATAATTACTGTTTTTACTGGAAATAAAATAGAACGTAGACTGTGGTCTGTGCAAAAGTTATGGCACATTTTGTACATTTGTATCTTTTGCTGTAAAGAACATATATAATCTTTTTGAACCCATCTAGCTGTTTCATGTCTTTTTAATGAGAAAGTCCAGTAGAATTGTTTATCCAAACGTCTGGTAAAAATACAAGCCAGCAAGCTCAAATTCTTTTGCCTTTCTTTGTTGCCCTCGCAGATTTTAAAACCAGCGGAGAAGAAGAAGCCCAACTCAAGCCGTCCAGTGACTCCACCGCGGAACATGGTCACCAAGCAGGCGAAGAAATGAGGAGCACTAGCAGTCCAGTGGCCATTGTGGACTTTTATCATGTGGTTTTCATCCGTCACAGCTTCAGAGTTGCTGTTCTCTGACATAGTGGTCACGTGGACTCACCTCAACACTGTCGACCGTTTTGTTTAGTTTTTTTGTGTTCAAGTTCCTTTTTTAGTTGTCCTACTTTTTTCGCCCCGTTTTTGTGCTCCCTCCCCGTTTTCACAGCCACCAAGGAAGACGGCTGCCCTGAGAGGAAGCGGGAACAGGGAGCACTCTGCTCTTTTCCATTATCTTTGTTGTTTTCTCGGCTTTTGAGACTAAAATGGCTTTTTGTGACCTTGAATTCTTCAGGATGCACATTTGAGTCTCCCACTTCATTAGTCGGCAGCAGCATCACCTCCTCTTTCGCACCAGTTAATACAGGGAAGACCTTTACCTTACATCTGTGGAAGCACTCCACCACACTTAAGTTATGGTGCAATGTTATGGTGCGATTATTATTATTATTATTATTATTATTATTGTTGTTATTATTTTGCTCCCCAGATAGTCATTTAAACCACTGTGAACAAATAAGATGTAAAATGTAATTACTTTAATATGGAGCAAACGGCATCTCTCCAGCAGTGAGATTGATTTTCACTCTAGCTTTGTTCAGCATTTTATTCAGTGAATGTGCCATGAGATTTGCTGTCCCATCAGATTACATTTTTAAAAAATGTTTTAGGATTATATTACGATTTTATTTTCTTTTAATGTTTTTCTTTTTTCTTTTTTTTTATTCTTCTTGCAGGAAAAAAAAAAACACACCATGAAAGCACCCTCCATGAAATATATTGATCTGTAGCACTGTATGAAAGGTTATGTGCAGATTCAACTGGATATTTTGTGTGTGTGTGTGTGTGTGTGTGTGTGTGTGTGTGTGTGTGTGTGTGTGTGTGTGTGTGTGTGTGTGTGTGTGTGTGTGTGTGTGAGTGTGTGTGAATGTATGTGAGCATTTTATGAAACAGATTATATCAAGATGAAACAAACAGCAGATTTCAGTGCTATCTCTGTTGATCTGAGTATCGTTTTACTTCTTTTTTTAATAAGATGCCTTGTTTACTGTTTTCTTTCTCTTCTTGACATGAGATTTACTCGTTTCGGCTCCAGAAGCTTCTGCATCAGATATGAGCATGTGAAGATCTCGGTTTCTCATAAAGACTTTTTGTTGCATGCATTTAGGTGTAGACGTGTAGGATACAGACAGGCCTTCACTTTTTCTCAGGGCATGCAGGTTCTTGGCATGTCAGATAATGTAGCTTAACATCAGGTATATTGATAACTTTTGACTTCAGCTTTTTCGCTTTGTTTGGAAGATAGTTCATCTTACGTGTCACCCAAACCCACTGTATATATCCAGAAAGTTTTGTTCAGTCTTGGCAATAACTCACAATTTTTCCACATTATAAAGAATTGTAATACTTGCTAAATAAATTCAAGGGGAAGGGGGGGCAACACAGTCTCCAGTCTCCAGTCTGTTACTGTTTTTCTTCTTCAGAAATGTTTCTGCAGCGCTACAGGGGGAATTGTGCCCTTTTGCACTGATTTGAGAGTACTCTGCTGTTTCTTCCAATGAAAGCTGAAGAATTGGTTTGAGCAAGCGTGTCTGAAATCGAGGTAAAAGGGCAGCATCTACTGAGTTTTCCTGAGGGTTTTAGTTAAAAAACACTATCTACAGGTGTTGAACAAGCTTAGTGTCTGTACAACTTTTCTTGATCAGCTGACACAGAGAACCTGGCACCTGTGATTAACAGAAATACTGATACCATTTAATATCACAGTATTTTCTAAATATATTGTGCTGTCAAATAATTGTTAGCATTGATGCAGTTAAGGAGCCCAGACATTCTGCTACACGGTTAAAAGAATGTCTTACAAACATGATGGCTTGTCGAGGTGTTTTCTTCTGTTAGTTACACCAAAGGGAGCCTTAAACAATGTTAAATGTTAACCAGACATTTACAGAGTCTGATGCAGCCAGTAAAAAACAAACCTTGCAGTGAACTATCAGGAGTAAAGTGTGCAAACAAAACAAACTGCTTGGTAGCATGACCACTGCTGCTTAATGGGTATTTTTATGTGTGTGTGTATATATATATATATATATATATATATATTATAGAGAGAGAATATATATATATAATGTATGTATATAGATAGATAGATATAAAGTATACACACACACAAAAATTTTCTCCACTGTTCAAAACCAACCATTTCCTTTGCATTTCTGCATTTCTTCTACTTCAATCCCAGATTTATACTCCCTGCTTTTCCCAAGCGCTCAATGATGACTTCCTTTGAACATCAGCTGCACCATCCCTACACAAATATCATTGGTCAGGACTCTATTGGTCAGCAATAAACTGCATTTTTTGATTGAGATCACTGCACCGCATGTACATTTAAATTGCTTTATTTCTTTATTATATAAACAAATACATTCTGTATTAAAATAAAAAAAAATGATTGCAAAGATTTGATTCAAAAAACAGATCTGTGCAAATTAGGTACAGCTCCCAAACCCACCCACGTCCCTCCAGCACATTGTGTTCAGTGGAGTTGCCTGTACACTAAGACTCGGAACTGAAACGGTGGACTTTGTTTTGAGGCATCTCGACAGCCTGTGGAGAGCTGCCTCAAGGCCAGAGCACCGAGCCAACTAAAAGAAATGGTGCCATTCAACCGCAGCACGTTCTCTCCCCTGCTTTCAGTGTTCTAGAATGTCCTCCCACCTATTCTCAATGTTCTTCAATGTCCTACTCTTCTAGAATATTCTGAAATTACACTGTTCTAGAATGCTCTTCTCAAACTACACTTTTATAGGATGTCATTCCACCTATTCACACTGTTCTAGAATGTCATTCCACCTATTCACACTGTTCTAGAATGTCATTCCACCTAGTCACACAGTTCTAGAATGTCATTCCACCTATTCACACAGTTCTAGAATGTCATTCCACCTATTCACGCTGTTCTAGAATGTCATTCCACCTAGTCACACAGTTCTAGAATGTCATTCCACCTATTCACACAGTTCTAGAATGTCATTCCACCTATTCACGCTGTTCTAGAATGTCATTCCACCTATTCACACTGTTCTAGAATGTCATTCCACCTATTCAATGTTCTGCAATGCTCTTCTCAAATTGCACTGTTCTAGAAAGTCATTCCACCTAGTCACACTGTTCTAGAATGTCCTCCCTATTCACACTGTTCTAGAATGTCCTCCCTATTCACACTGCTCTAGAACGTTTTCCGCGTTCTCACAGAGTTGCTTGTCTTGTCAATTCTTATTCTATGCTATGGTATCAAGCTGACTGGCTCTGTGCTCTGGCCTTTAGAGCTCTGTGCAGTAAAGCCATCAGCACTTAAAGCACTTCTTAGCTTGGCTAAACCCAGCAATACAGCCAGAAACCTAACAAGAAGCTCAGTTGCTGCTTATATTACTGTGTTTTAACAATTTCAACATGGACCCTTTATGCAAATCGGTCTCTGCTCGATGTGAGCCAATCACAGAGTAGTATATTTTCTCATAAAACATCAGCAGAAAATTGGCCGCCCCTTGAGTTCTGTTTTTCAGAAAGCAAACTACGACCGCCAGCATCAGCATCAGTCACTGGACTAGTTTGGAGTAACATGGCTAATGCAGTACTGTACCAATACCAACAGATGAGCTTTGTCTTTCACACATCTTCCTTATTAGCTTTTCTGTTTTCAACAGCGTCACTAGAAACGGAAGCCAATGACAGATAAAAAGTGTTTCAGGGTCTAGAAATTGTGACCTCTTTTATATTTGGACCATTTTGGGGCTTTTTACACAAATCTTTGACTCACATTCCTAAAAAGGGGGAACACTTTGTAGACTGTGTAAACAGCAACATTTCTGACTGCAGCATCTTCTGGGTTTCCGAGGGAGTTTTCACTGTGTTGTGGAAGCACAGGAGCAGCCGCTGAGGAGGTTCAGCTCTTTACAGGAAAAGAAACAAACGCAAGTCTGTCAGAAGGCAATGTGGTGATGTGGTCCAGCGGTGCGAGGAAAAAGTGCTTCTGCAGTCCAGGAGGAGCAGACATGTTTCGGAGTTCTGTGGGATTTGTGTGCATGAAGAGCGCTGCTGAGAGTCAGAGCAGCTCGGAATAAGGTGCTGATCTAGGACCACCTCTACCCCCTTACTCATTTTATTAGAGCAGCGGTTCCTAACAGGGAAAAACGATATGGAAAGGGAACATCATCATGATTTCACTGCTATATATCCCATTTGCAATTATAAAGAATGCACTGCTGAGTCAATGATGACGCGGTTAAAGATTCACACTATTTTTGACCAAATGTTTTCTGAAGCTGTGACCGGTCTGGACGCTCACAGCGCACAGTAAAACACTGTTCGTGATAAAGTTCTTATTCCCTTCAGACACGTTGAAGTCATGAAGGACTTAAGATGGAAAAAGAGCTAAAATGTACAGAATATTAGGGGTAAAAACTGATCCTACGTCAGCACTTTCACTCCAAGATGGGTCTTGAACTCTGTGTGGAATCCTAAGTGTAACTATTTCACTGACCAACAGACACACAATCCTCATTAAAATCTAAATGCTAGTCAGAAAATGTAACTGTTGCATATGAATAACTGAGGCATTATTGCATGTTTGAGTGAAGAACTGCTAAACACCCCTCAAGATATGGTTAAGCAGAATCTCCTGGGCTGTAAATGAGGCCCTGCGGCCCACCGACTACTCTGGTCGTTACATTCTACATCAGGAAACGGGATCTTCACAGTCGCCATTCAGTCACAATCTGTCTGAAATAGGAGAAACTGACCGTCTGTCCGGCTTGTTAAGCAGAGCAGAGATGGCCGACTGACCTCTTCACGCTCTTCCTGCTGCTGTTGCAGCTTTACACAATGTTCTAATAGGAGTTTAAAAATTCAGCGTGCTATAAATTTGAAACGTACAGAGCCCAGCTGGTGACATTAAGGCGTGGAAATGAGATCATGCCTTACTAAGCTGTGGCCAAGGCTTAATTTTCCCATTCCCACACCTTACCAAGTTGTGGCCACGACTTAATTATCTCGTTCCTACAACTTACTGAATCGTGGCCACGCAGTATGTTTATTTATACGGGACGTCACCAGAAGGGCTCTGTAGAAATATTATTTTGTATGGTTGTGAAAAGTGATCCTGTGAGGAGATTCTAGTTTTTTTTATCAAAATGATTTATTTATTTATTATTACTTTATTATTCTAGATAATATTTCAGTTTTTCAGCCTGTGGGCTGTGGTGGTACTGCTGGGGGGTATTGGTGTCTGCAATATACAGACATTTAACCGAACAAAAGTGGCAAATACTATTCTTATGATAATTATATGCAAAACATAAACATTCAAGTCAAGCTCAGATTTGGCCTGATGAGATGCAGGAGCTGACCAACATATCTAGCTATGTTTACATTTTCAGTGCAGGTCAATGTACAACTTTTCTCGTTTTGATCACGTAATTTATCCTTCATTGATTTTTTAGACAGTGTTTAGTGTTTTTTATGTTGCGTGATTATAGAGTTGAATGGAATTCAATAAGCTACACTGATTATTCTATTTTATAGTTTTTATGTCGTTGTATTTGAAACTGTTTGTGGGCCATGAAAGCTTCAGTGGGCCTCAAGTTGCAAAAGCTTGGGAGCCGCTGAGCTTCCACACAGTCCAGCCTTTAAACTGGAATCTCGACATTACCTCGTGAATCTAAACTACTACATTCGTTAGACTGAGTGGGATTCTGTCAGCGTTCTGTAAAGCCTGACCGTCTTAAAAACAACTACTAAAACTATGCATTTGTGGGTGGAGCACAGATCAGTTTATAGTATGTAGTACAGTGTGAGCAGTGCTGGTAATGTGTGGTTTCTGTGTGGACTATGAAAACGTTTATTGCTGTTCACCAACTAACACCAACGAACACAGCTGCACAGGAACTTGTATCTCTACTTCAGCGACACTGAGTCAAACACAGATATATTGCTTTTTGAATATTAATCACATTCTTCTGTATTGCGTATGCTTATGTGCATACTATTACAACTTTAATGGGAACTATTATTACTGATTTCTCTAAATTAGCACACCTAAGTGACCCCTACCCTGTCCACTCACTAGATATTAGGGATGTAAGATGACAGCAGAATCGTATCAGTATCAGCAGTGGACAGTTTTGACTGGTATTTCAAACCAGTCTGAACGTATTTTTTGTTCACCAGAACAGCAGAATGTTTAGGTGATGCTGTAATGTTGCACTGCAGTGTCTGTATTTTATTGATTTTACTGTATTTGTAATCCTACAGTAATAAACACTAGATTTCTCTATAATGATAATCCAGGTGGATTTAATCCCAACTTCTATTTTTTGTAAATGTTTATGTCTCAGCATTGGCATCTGGAAGATATAGAACTGTGCAAAAGTTAGAGACCCTTCATTTATTTAATGACAAAGTCAAAATGGCCAGAATGTTATTCCTTTTTCAGGAGATATTTTTGAGGAGATGAGATTTAAGATAATCCGTTTGCTTAAGGAAGGAGAAAGTCAGAGCAAAATAAGTGAAAAAACAGGAGTTTCCAAAAGTGGAGTTCAAAAAATGATTAAAAGCTGTAGTGAAAACGGGGCTCCTAACAACCACCTGGAAGACCTGTTAGACACCAAAACTGCCCCCATCAGATAAACAGCACTTAAAGCTTTCATCTTTGAGAGAGAGGAGAAAATCAAGCTGCTTCAGATCTGAAAACATCCACAGGTGTTTCTGTCCATCCTTCCACTGTGAGAAGACAACTCAGCGCTGTGGGTCTGAAAGGATGTGTAGCTGTCAAGAAGAACCTCGCTGAGAAAAGAAAGAAACTTGCAAATCTAACAAAGAAGCTGCTGGTGATGTCAGAACAATCGACTGACCACCCCAGAGTCCAGACCTTAACATGACTGTGTTTGGGCTTAACTGGATCATGAGATGCAGAAAATACAACCAACTTCTAAGACTGAACTTTGGAGGTGTGGAAAAATATCCCAGCAGATTTCTTTGTAAAACAAAGTTAGTCAACTGAAAATAACAGAAGCCGTAATAAAGGCAAAGAGTGGACACATTAAATGCTGAACAATTATGACAGTGAAAACGGATTAGTTGTAGTAAATAACCATTTCGACTAGAAATTAAATAAATCAAGGGTGGTCTCTTACTTTTGCACAGTACTGTATGTACATGTAAAACATCGTATATCGGCATCGGCCCACATTTCCTGTATCGGTGCCTCCTTACAGCACACTGAATGTGGCGCCTACAGCTTTTTACATTTTTGGTTAATCTACTGTACCATAGTTGTTCCACTGAAAAGACAGAAACTAGCTGTGTTTGAACTGCGATAACCTCTGGCTCAGCTTCTATAAACACGCTCGTCAGAAATGAGTATACAGGCCCGTATGATCTCATGTTATTATGGTGCTGTGTTTTCTACGCTGATTGATGGACGAGGAAAACGTCTGTGTGAACTGGTTGTGACTCGTTCATGCACACAAATGACTCTGAGGAGAGGTTTCACTACAGACTAGATCACCATGCAGAAATCAGGAAGAACTGTTTCTCCACAATGACTGGTTATGACTGGTTAGTCCAGACTGGTTATTATGACTAACGTCTTTATCATATCCTCAATCCCAGTCTGTGTGTGGGACGTCCTAGAAGACACATTTTAAGATGGTTGAATAATGTAGAGAAGACGATTTGTGTGATGAATTTCCTGAAAGTTTCCTCCAAACATTTCACAAATTTTGGAAGCCTGAAAGAGTTTGCAGTCCAATACTGTAAAACGAGATAGTAAACTATTCAAATGTTCACTGAAATACTGGACAACGCTGGAGGCACTATGTTCAACAATGCCCGCACAGGTTTTCATTTAGGTCTCCAAACAACGCTCGGCAGAGAAACCCTCCATGTAACATCTCCAGCATTGACTGACGTCCATCAATGCCACCAAGGCGAGTGTTCCAGCCAATCAGGTTACAGCATGGGCTCAGTCTTGTATGTGCCCTGAAGGACTGAAAGGTGTCACTGGATACAACGTCATAAGGGATGGGACCACAATCCAATGTTATTGGTCCTTTTGACTTACTTGTGGCTCCTCATTGGTTCGGTACTGGATATACAGAACAGATTCTGGTTATGTGTAGAACCCGCCGTCTCTGAGAAGCTTCTGACGTGGTCACCATATTCAGTAAATTGTGGCAGTGCTTCTCCACCTGAAGATGGACAGCTTGTGGCCATGGACCCTCTGTGAATCTGGAAGTCTCCAGCTGAATCAACTGATCTATCCATTCTCCGCCCAGAAATGCATCCTTTCGTAGCAACTGTTGCTGGGTTGGACAAGCTTTACAGAACATTGACACCTACGACTGTTCTGTAGTTCCAGGCTGAAGCCCAGCTGCTGTGCGCTCAACTGGTGCCCACTCGTTCAGATTCAGCCTTTAAATGAGTTTTAAAGCGAAACCTTTAGCACTTTCCTCAGACTACGCTGGACAGAGCTCGTTGTAGACCTATAGATAAATCAACGAGTAGCAAACTAACAAAAGGAACAGCACAGTGGAAAGCTTCAGTTCTCCTCAAGAGCCTCCATTATAACAAGAATCCACAAGCTGTATGAATAAGAGTGAGAGGCTACAATCATGGAGGAGTTGAATCTTACCCTGCATTCACACCAGCAGCGACGCGATGCTACAAAGCGGCCGGAGGTCATTCATTTTCAATGAGAGCAGAGCGAACATTGACGACACGAAGTGGGCGGAGTCAGTAACGTGACAAAGTTGAGCAGAGTTTAACTTCATGCAAATAAGGAGCAAAGCCATATGGCGATTACCAATAGGAACTGAGCACTGAGCAGCGCAGTGCGCACTTCATCTCTGCCACTGGGAAATGATGCGCTCCATTTTTGGTTCCTAGATAACTGTTCTAAGTAGAGGTGGAATAATGGCGACGGTGCTTTTGCCGCAAATAGGCAGTCACTGCAAGGAACAAATACTATTTTCCTCACATACTGACTGCACAGACACGGGGATTAAATAAAAATAAGAACAAAGGCGATTTCTGACCAGGGTTTTAATTTTTAGTGGGAATGTTTCTGTTTTGTGCTTGGCGTCAGTTCAGAGTTCAGAAACAGCCACAGGCGATGAGCGGCCAGTGATCTGGGTGACAAGAGGCGAAAAGTCGCTGCTGGTGTGAATGCAAGGTTACACTATATATATTTTCATATATATATATATATATATATATATATATATATATATATATATATATGTATAGTAACTGGTTGGATGTTGGTGATGAAAGCTGAAAACTGCATTCACTCTGTGTAAATCAGATGATTTTCATGTCACACTATGAAAATGACAGTAATGAATTACTGAAAGTAATAAATATATTCCGATGAAGCTCATTTCGTCACTCGTATAGAAATAACAAGATGTGCTGCTTTTTAAATGGAAAAAAAACTTTCTCTTATATACACGTTTGTTTTTTTTATGCTAACATTAGCATGATGGCAAATTCGCCGTCTTGTGGCTTAATTACAATAACATACTCCAGCTTGACAGCGTAGCATCTTAAACTCTAAACTCAACGCTACTTAGTGCCTCTTTGCCGCAGTTTCTCGTGAATCGGACTACATCGGATTTCTGTCAACGTCCTGGGAAGCTTGTCCAACCTGCTGAAGAAGGTATCTGTGGTGGAAGCATGGACAACTGGTCAACTGGAGGTCCTAACCAAAGCTGTGAGTGTGATTTTGGGTCAGAGTTGTATCAGAGCACGGTCTCATGGGTGTACGTGTGTATCAGAGGGAGGTCTCGTTGGTGTGCGGCCGGGACGTTTCCTCCTCAAGCAGAGCGATGCGCTGTTTGAGCATGCGCACCTGCGTCTCGTGTCTCTCCACCATGGCCATCATCTGCGACTCCAGCTTCTTCAGCTTATTCTGGTGCTTCTTCTTAGCCTTCTCATACGCTGCTACCAGGTTACTGTGAACACAAACACAAACACACAGACAAAGGAATCAGGACCATCTGCTATAGATTACTGCTTAGTTCCTGTTCAGCTTGACCTAATTTTTTTGCACAGGAACCCTTTGATCTCTGTAATGGTAACTTTTTAGATGGGGGTGCACAATGATATCAGATTTCACATCAGGCTTGGCAGATACTCGCTTAAAAAAAGTTCCCACATCCGATGTTTAGATTTGACTGATATTTCATATTTGATGATGCATTTATTGTACTGTGGAGAAGCAGAATGTTTAGGTGATGGTGCACTGCTGTGCTAAATATCTGCATTTTATTCATTTTACTGCATTTGTAATCCTCAAATACATGTTCTATTTCTCTGCAATGCTAATCCAGGTGGATTTACTCTCATTTTCTATATTTTAGAACCATTTATGTGGTATCGGCATTACATGAAAAATATTAGATATCAGCATTGGCCCACGATTCCCAAAGATTCTTAGCATTCTATTAATGTAATGTGAACATTTTGGACTATTTCTATTGATCTAATCATCATATACTGTTCACACAATATAGAGAGTAACAGGAATTTTTAAATGCTGTTAAAAAAAAATAAAATAAAAAAATATACATAGGTCTTACAAAAGCAACAAAAGCTCCTCCTAATAATGACTGGAGTGGTGCGTATTGAGCTCAGGCTGGGTCTGACCAGTTGTAAATTCTCACACTGCAGTATAAGCAGTATTATAGAACAATTTCTCACTCTTTTGACTGAGGACAAAGTCATCAAGCACTAGTACGTGACCACTGAGGCCATACGACAGAAACTTCCTATCTTAAGATCTGACAGGTCAAGATAAGATTTTATACAAATTTGCACTACAGAAGCAAAACTTATCTTGATTTAGGAATCTTATCTTACAGCATATTTCGAGTTAGGAAATCTTAAACTACGCGATCGAAGTCGACTATCAACTGTCATGTCTGTTACCTAGCAACTGACCATGCGCACACAGCTGAAACATAAACACGTAATCAAAATAAGTTAGTTAGCCAGGCAGCTAACATTAACTACCATTACTGATAATAAGTCAAACAAAACTGAAGCGCAATAAACTGGAAGAATATCATCAGTCAAAGCACCGTTTTTTAATGTGGATAAATGTAACATCATTATTCTACTTATAGTAAACTATGCTGCCTGTTACTGTATAAAACAATAGAAACAGATGGTTAAAACAGAAGTTAAGAAGCTCTGGGGTTTATCTTAAAGTTAGAACAGAATTTAGGAAATTCAGTCTAGTTAGGATGTTTCTGTAATACTGTTTTCTTATCTGGAGTTAATGATAAGATTATGAAGTTAAGATCTGTTATTCTGTAATAGCTTCTGTCCTAAATTCAGTCCTAACTAAAGTTGTCATGGTGACTAAACAGATAAGATTTCAGACTTAAGAAGTTTCTGTAATACGGCCCCAGAATGTAAACTGGTATTTATAGAATTATCACTTTAAAGAGTTTGCCAGTGTAATGTTTGCTGCGTCAATTGTGTCAATTAGCCTAAATTCTGGCAGCTAGAAAAGTTTTACACTCTCAGAAGAAAATGTTTGAATTTGCTTGACTTCACACATCATTCTGTGTAACTGTAGCAAACTAAAAACATCTGTGTGTGCCTGTGTGCGGGCAGGAATTGCCTAAGCATCTGTTTTATCGGTTTGTTAATTTACACATAGCTATAGAGCTACAGCGTATGCAGAGGTTAAACATCCCAGGTCAAATTACATGTTTTGTTGACCTTCTAGTGCACAAGTTCTATTTATTTACTAAGTTTAACAATTTGGGAAAAAACCGAAAAATAAAAAATTCTGCATAAGACTGTAACTAAATCACTGGTTTAATCATGACATAGCAGTGAATATTATATATATATATATATATATATATATATATATATATATATATATGTGTGTATAAAATTTCACTATACTCATTGCCTTGTTTATTGTTGTGTAGGATTAAGAACAGTAAGATCTACTCCCATAAGATATTGGCAGCATGCTTGAATATACAAACGTAAAGCAGGATTTAAAGTCATTTGTCTTGGTTTTGCTCTCCGGCTCTGCTTGTGGCAGGAATGAATGGATCCAGTTCATCAAATCATGAGAGCCAATTCCTTAAAATGTTCAATGTCTCAGTCACACGAGGCAGCACTTTACTAAACGCAGCACAGCCCTGATCACCCACTCACAGCATTCATTACCTTTAGCCTGTTAACCACAAACAGAGCGACGTTCCCCAACGTCCCCCAGCGTCCCCCGAGGGCTGCTCGTCATTATAAACACACACATGCTGACAGCACACACACAAAGACAAAATGAACACTGCTGCGTTGTCTGATTAGAGCCATAAATCCAGCAGAAGGGTGGCTTATGTGGATGCATTGCAGGCTTTACAAGCTCACCACTAGGGGGCATCCTTACTGTGGAACCATAGTGACTGCACAAGCGGCAGCTTCAGTACAGGGTGCTCACTGGACTCACTGGACAGTGAGCGTGCAGGATTTGAGTATGTTAAGCAGAAAAGTCCTTGCTTAGCTAGGAGTCTATCACAATAGCAAGCTAGCTAACTTTAAACAAGGGAAATGTACTGCAATTGTTTACATTGTTATGTATTTGGTTAACGTACACTTCACCCAGGCTTTCTCACTAGGCCCATAAAGTAAGCTCCGCCCATGCGAGGGCAGTTATGAGCGGTGTGTGGCTTGTTTGTCACCTGTTGGCTCGTTTGAGGTCGTTGACGAACTCTGCGCTCTGCTGGTGTCGGACCTCACTGCTCTTGGTCAGTCGCTCCAGCGCTGCCACCAGCTCCTGCACACGACTCTTCAGCTTCTTCTCCCTGAAAACAAAAATCCAGAGACAGAGTGGTCAATGGAATCCCCACTGCAGGCCTCAGCGTACATCCTGAACACTTACAGCCTGCTGAAAATGACTTTTTGGGAGTCACTTTAAAAAAACATTTTTTTAAATTCAGTTTGTTTTGTAAAAAACCTTAAACACAGACATCAATTTCTAATTTCAAGTATTTAAGAATAAGCGTTTAGAACAATCTAGGGACGAAAATGATTAAACAAACAATTGTTTGAGAAATGCAGTTAAAAAAAAAAAACTTTACAGCTAAATATAACTTTAGGACCTAAGAATATAAAACCTTTAGCAACATTTTTGGTCATATAATCATGAATGTAGTTGGTTTAAACAACTGGGTCCTTATGTAAAGTATGTTTAATACAGTTTTGGGCAATTTACCTCACATGCATGCTGATGCCTGGCCCCAGCTCTCAGTACTATGTCCTACCATCCTTATAAGGAACACTTATGAATACCTCAATGCATTAATACAGAATTCAGTTGATGTGTGTGCTAATACGACTTCAGACATGGCTCAGCCAATCAGCTTTCAGCAAAGAATAACTAACATTTTTATAGGATACATCCTTAATTTAGGTTTGCCAGTTGTGATGACAGTCAGTTATTGGTGAAAAGAATTTGTCTAAATTTGCATCCTAGATCAAACTGTCTTTAAGAGTATCTAAAATTAAGTGGATCCAAAAATTTTACTTGTAATGGGGCAGACAGATTTGCTCTGGCCACTCAGGCCACCAGAAGCTGAAGATCATCGCACAGTAACAGTTCTTGTGCTGAAAGCCGTGGCCACGCATATTGTGTAAACGAGTTACTCACAGTAGGGAATGAAGGTGTGGCGTGTGCCTGCCATAGAAACTGACAACTGACATCCTTCTCAAAAGCATATTCCAGCCACACAAACTGCTTCTTCTTCCACTCGATTCTGAACTTTCTCGTTTTTTCATTTTTTTCATAGTCATCATTGTTATCAGTGTTTTTTTACTATCATCACAACAGTAAAGCCATGTTGTAGTAGCCCAGCCATTGCGACAGGCTGGGAAAAAAAAGGCTCGGTGTTCTAAAAAGAAGCTGTCACCTGTCAATGTTTTCTGACAAAAAAAGTCTGACAAGATTTAATTGGGTACAATTAATTTCATGTCTGACCAAACAGGCTCTCATGTGTGGAATAGTAGTTTACATTGCACACATTTACATTTTTCCACCTGCAAGAGAACCGTACTGTACCTGAACACTTGTACTGAATTTGGTTACCCTACCCAAACGTGTCGAGCCAGAACGTAAAGGTGGAGCTAGTAATAGTGCAAACTACTGACTGGTCAAACACAATTGTCCCAAAATTATGATGTGGTGTTACTGGAGTCAGATGACTGCAATAAAAAAAGTAGCTAGCCAGAATCTGTGACTCTCATATAAAACCAAACGCTGAGAAAAAGGTAAATCAGACCTTAAAACTCCTCCATTGTTGCTTCTGTTGTTCACTAGAGTCGTAAATCATGTAGCCACACAAGCTGAAGAGAACTACACCTACTTTCATGGTTCTACTGTGTGATGGGAAATGGACACGGGTGCTCGAACAGGGTGCTCCTAATTCAGGGTTCAGAATTGTAACCGTGCTGTACTGTGGGGAAAACCTTTAGTGGCCTGAATGTGAAATGATGTGGCCAGGGGCACCAGGCAACAGGCAATTTTGAAACCAACTAATAATGCATACACACACACACACACACATACACACACACACACACACATACACACACACACATACACAGCCTCTTCTAACCACAATCATTGATGTTTTCCATCTGAAGAGGAGTTTCTAAGAGCAGATCTATGGAGATTAAAGATCTGTGTCATGAAGCCTGTAAGTAATTTTCCTATTACTTACAGATTGTGAAGCAAGGCTTATAAGGCTTATGTATTAAAGTCCTGAGCTAGGTGAGCGAGAAGTGCTGAGCTAAGGATGTGTGGAGTTTAATGTAGGGCTGAACAGTGTGTGTGTGTGTGTGTGTGTGTTTTCCCCACCTCCGGAGAGCGTTGGTGAGTTCTGCTGCCAGGTCGCTGTCACTGAGGTTCCTCAGTTCAGACACATTAACAGCTGAAGGATCCCCCGAGTCCTGAGGAGAAGAGCCAAAGTCAGGTATAATATAACACACCACATCAATCTAATGCAAAATTACTAAATTTAATGTTCCCACATTTCCCAGCGATGCTGTCATTTTAACAGCATTTAGCCACTAGGGGGCATCTGTCTCACATTCAGATTTACACAACAGAGCATAAAGCATGTTTAGGTCATGAAGTGGTTTGTTATTCCATCATTTGTTTAAATGCTGGATGGCTTATCGCTCTGTGCTCCGCTGCACTGGAGGAAAAGCAGAAACATCTCCGGTGATTTAATCCCAGCAGGGGAAACACATACAGAGACATTTCCATTATATATATATATATATAGAGAGAGAGAGAGAGAGACAGAGAGAGACAGAGAGAGAGAGAGAGAGAGAGAGATAAGATAACGACAGACAGCGCGGAATTTAGGATAAACATGCAGGAGAGTACTCGCACTGTCACAGATATACACTTATATGGAATTTGGCAGCAGGTCTGGGTTAAGCAGTAAGTGCACCTCCTCCTCTCACGCTCTGATAAATGGGTTTAGGTATTAGAGTTGACACAGATACATGAACCAAAACACTCTGTCGAGAGTGAGAGAGGATGAGAAAACAAGGGTGATACCCATCCTAACATCCTTCCCATGGTTACTACAGACCAATTAACATCCCACAGATGATCCTGCATCAGGTAGCAGGGGTGGGTGATGTGATAAGTAACATCACAATAAGCTTATCTGAGCTTACTGTTACTGTTGTAAGATAACCTCATATCTCCGTTAGGCCTACCACAATTACTACACAATCGCCTGATCGCAAATTTATGTATTGTTATTATTATTTTTCACTGTTGTTACACTTTCACAATCTTGTGTTCCTGTCAGAACAATCAGAATGTAAACTGGGGCCTTTTACATGAAGTGGGTTGAGCCAAAAGCCTGTGAGTAAAAGAACAGAGGAGAAAAAAGAATAGAATAGGCTCTTTTTGAGATGTGTCATGGGTTTTATAAAAATAACCAAAGCACTAACTTCTGACTGGTGCTATAACACCTTTAGAGGGCAGCAGTGAGCACTGTTTGTTTACTTGAGCTCGAGCGGTCCTCAGTTGGAAGCTACTAAGTATGGACTTCTAAGAAGCAGGACAGCAAAACGAGCAATTTTGCTACTTCAGGTTTGTAATTAAAAGGTGTCTACAATGAACAAAAAACAAACTGTTAACTGAAATTATTTATATAGCAATTAATCATCTAAAACGGCATGACTGTGACAGGCCTAATCCCTGTACCAGTAACATTATAGAAGAAGAATAACACACTGGCTCAATCTCATTTTTTAATTTGACCCCTACCCCTTGTTTCTGAGTGTCACCTTGCCCCTTGGAACTGAGTTACAAGGGGTAGTGGTTGAACTCTTCCCCATGAAATGGGACCCTCAAATAAAGAAGAGCATTACTTCACTAACAGCTACTAGTGCTGCTCTGTAGACGACCCTACCAGTTCGCAGTGATAGCAGAGGAGGGTAAAGTACAGCAACCTCACTGCTGGGCTTTAGCTACATTTAGGGAATCATATGCTTCAAAGGGGGGATGCGAAAAATTATTATTATAATCGCCCACCCCTAATTCTTCAGTGATATGAAGCTGAAGTCAGCTATTCGCCAGCTTCTTGCTGGAATGTTCCAGTTCCACCTTAAATGGTGCAGCAGTTACATTCTGGCCCTTCAGGCGTCAGAACTGCTGCACCATTTAAGGTGAAACAGGAAATTTAGCTAGCTAGCTACCGAGACATCAGCATACTACTAGTGATTTTCTTTGCTTGTTATGAGAGAAGAACCATAATACATTGAAACGACATTAAACTAAGATGATACAACGGTTAGTGGAATTTTTAACAGAGAAATTTCTCACATTTGTGGGTTTCTTTGGTTGCTCATAGAGCCATCTTGCTGTTTTTCTTTTTTTTACTGTGGAGTGAGCCTCTGAGAAACCTCTGTTTGGAGGGCCATGTAGCCCTAACACTTCGCCCTGCCCCTCTATCTCAACAAAAATTAGGACACCCTACCCCAAGGCATGAACGGACAAAACGGATGGGTAGGGCTAAGTGGTAGGGGCAAGGGGTGAAATGGGATTGGGCCATTCTCTGCTTCTTATGTATGGCAATGCAGCAAGATCCTTTGTATCAAGAAATGTTTGCATTTAGTGTAAACTTTTGAAGAGGAGCTGGTGTAAAAAAACTAAAACAAAAAATATCAAGGCAACAACAACATGTTAAATTAAAAAAAGGTTTAAAAGAGGCTGCCAGGTAACGTAGCAGCCCCCCCCACCCCCACTCAAGAGATGAATATGTAATACTGAATAGGTCTGAAGTAGTTTTACACAGGAAATACTGTGATACTTATAATGTATCATCAGAAAGTGCAACTTGGAAGGTGAGACCAAGAAACTGATTTTTGCTTCCAGAATCTGCTGTTAGTAAGTTTTTTATGTGTGAATATTTGAGCCAACTTGATCATTTCCTGTCTGGTCAGGAGCCTGCGGACCTCGTAACTAGATACACTCACGCTTACTCAGCAATTCTGAACAATTCTAAAAAGAGCTGATCCAACCAGAGTGAATAAAGAGCCACTTTATAAGAGACAAAATACTCGATTAATAAACGCTTTATATTTTAGGTGTGCATGTGCTTAGTAAAAAGAGAAAAGGACAAAAAGAGAAGAAACAAAAGAGAAGGAGAGAGAGGTGGGGAGGAAGGGACACGAGAGAAAGAACAAAAGAGAGAATGAGAGAAGGGGAAAGAGAAAGAGAGAAAAAAGAAAGGGAGAAAGAGAGAAAAAGATAGAGAGGGAGAGAGAGGCTTTACACTGCAGGTCAGTGCTTCATTTTCAACAGCTGGAAAAAGCTCTGATAACATCAGAGCCCGACGTCTTTCGCAGCCCCCATTACTCTCAGTAACACAGAGAACACATCCGAATAAATTACCTTTCAAAGCCTTCACGTTCAGACACCTTCAGAAATGTGAAAATTAAAGAAGCAGCAGGAATTCCACAAACAACAGTGTGATGACCGCTGAGCTGGACGCTGCCCAACAGGGCTGCAGCTTCAACAGGCATTTATAGAAGACGAGGCAGAAAAAGCATTTCCTAGAAACCAGCCTGGATCCATTTCACATGGCATAAAGAACACTAGAAACCGGATCTCGTACTCTTTAAACTCCTTAACCCTACAGCACAGAAATAAACCAATCACAGCGCGTTCTGAGCACAGCGCTGATTCACAATCAGAGTTTACCCTCACATCTCCGTCTCTACGTCTCACAGCAAACATTCGGCCAGAATTTGCCAGCAGTTCCCTCCTTAACCCGAATGTAGTCGATAAGCCAAGACATGTTTGGTGTTGGAAGCTTCCTAAGCTCTGCGTTTGAGCTACGAGGGTTAGGATTGGCTGACGTAGCTGACTGATGCTTGAGTTTAATAAGCAAGACTATTTGAGATTATTCAACAACACAGAATGAGGCAAGAGTGATAAGTTAGACAGAGAACAGAAGAACAGAAGAGGAGAGAAGGAAAGAGCAGAAGAGAAGAGAAGAAAGGAGACAGGAAGATAAGCCATAAGAAGAGAGTGAGTAAAAGATGAGACAAGCAGAAAAGAGCAAGAGCAAGAGCAAAAAAGAGAAGAGGGGAGAAGTGGAGAGCAGAAGAAGAGAGAAGGGGAAAAGAAGAAAAGATAAAAGAGGAGAAGATGAGAGGATAAGAGAAGATAAGAGACAAGCAGAAAAGAGAAAAGAGAAGTGGAGAAAAGAACAAGAGAAGAGGAAAAGAAGAAAAGATAAAAAAGGAAAGAAGAGAAGAGAGGAGGAGAAGATGAGAGGAGAAGAGAAGAGGAGAAGACAAGAGCAAAAAAGAGAAGATAGGAGAGGTGGAGAGAAGAAAAAAGAGGAGAAGAGGAAAAGAAGAAGAGAAGAGGAAAAGAAGAAAAGAAGAAAAGAGAAAAGGGGAGAAGAGAAGAAAGAAGAGAATAGACAAGAGAAGATAGAGAAGAGAAGAGAAGAGAAAAGAGAAGAGAGAAGAAGAAAGGAGAAGAGAGGAGAAGAGAAGAACAAGAGAAGAGAACAGAAGAGAAGAGAACAGAAGAGAAGAAAGGAGAAGAGAAGAGAAGAGGAGAGAAGAGAAGAGGAAAGGAGAGAGAAGAAAGGAGAAGAGAGGAGAAGCAGAGAAGAGAAGAGAAGAGAAGAGAAGAGAGAAGAGAGGAGAAGAGAAAAGAAGAGAAGTGAGAAGATGGAGAAGAGAAGAGAAAAAAGAAGAGAGAAGAGAAGAAAGGAGAAGAGAGGAGAAGCAGAGAGGAGAAGAGAAGAGAAGAGAAGAGAAGAGAAGAGAAGAGAAGAGAAGAGAGCTGTTATTCTGAGCTCTCAGGTTTGTTGGTGTCTCGGCAGTGTGTGAGCCGAGCCTTCAGTGGCTTCAATAATTCAGTGCTCAGGGTCAGACTGGGTCTCGAGTCCCCTGTGTGTGTGTGTTTGAGTGTGAAAGAGGAGGAGGTGGAGCGATCCGGGAGGACAGGATGAAAGAAGTGCATCTCTGAAAGTGTGTTTTGAGTGAGAGAGCATTTTTCTGAAGCTGCAGATGTGAGAGAATAGCAGAGATGTGAGGAAGGAGACAAACTCCAAAAGAGCCAGAAAACAGAGAGATCCTTACAGCCTACTGAGAAATGCCAAGATGATCCACAACTCTATAACATAAACTACCATTTACACACTCGGAATCAAAGGGCCTCACCAGCCAATATCTTCCTAAGTTTTTTCTTAAATTTATTCATGAGAAAGATCCTAAGAAAAAGTCTACGTCAGACTCACAACGAGTTCTCAAAGCGCAGAACTGTTCTCTCCTTTGTGCTCAAGTGTGAGTAGATTCTGCTTTTACCTAAGAAAAAATCCCAAATAAGAAAACACTGGTAAATATCAGCATCTTCGTAAAAACTGCGTGAGTTGGTTTTAAGAAGAAATTCCTTCTTAAGA